TCCTGCCATTTCTTGACGTAAGTCCAAGTACTCCGGATGACATGCTTTGGAAACCGCGTAGCAGGCGTTCTAAAGGTTTTGGGAAAGTGCCCCACGATCATCTGTGGAAAGGAAGGATGCGAAACCCAACCTGGTTTGTTCAAGTACTCCGCCTTTATACCTAACGGAGCAGCCTCTTTCAACGCTTTTTCGATCCTGGGGTCGAGGCCATTGCCCGAGGATTCGCCTTCCGGCTCGGATTCTGCTGCATTGGCGTGCCTTAGTAGGCCGCTGAACGGGGAAAACCCGACGTTGCCTGGATGACTGGCGAATGAGCCGACTTCTCATCCTTGGCGGGAACAGCGATTGTACCATCCCCAATTACCGGGACTCGCCCGCGCAGCTTGCAGTAAAGTTTCCGACCTTCGGGCGTCACGAAGTAAGGCGTCTTCCCTGCGTACCAATGGAAATCAAAGCCCTCGTCCATACATCTCCTACCAACAGAGCACACCGGCGGCGTTGAATCTAGCACGTAGCATTCGAGGATTTTGTTGATTTCGGGGACCTCTAGCTTAACGGCTTCATTACCTTTTACCGGTCCATTGGCGGTGATCAGAGAGACAGGACGTGAGGCAGGTTCTATGGGTACGTCGGGGAAGTGAGTTCTACAGTCCGACTTGCTGATGAGGTCCTCTTCACTTCCGGTATCCGCTAGGAATTCTAAGCCGGGGACCAGACCTGCGCATGACGGACGTGCAAGTCGCTCGCACTCCTCGCACAGGAAGCCTTCCTCCGTGCATTCATACCCGCATCCCGCAGGCATGTCGTGTACCATGCATTCGATCATGGTGGCAAACTGCTTTGCCCACACAAGAGCCCTCTTCAGATCCTTAGGGTTCGAGCGCGGACATTTCTCGACAGTGGGATAGACTTCGTCATAAACCCTGGGAAGGTAGGCATGCTTTCTCTGCTTTCCTTCCGGTTCGATGGCAATCATCTCTACGGTGCTGTCGAAACTCACCTTAGGAAGTTCTTGCATGTAGAAGATCGTCTTACCTACCCACGTGCTGCCGGGTCCTTTGGTTGGGGTCTTTCTCCAGTTGTAGATCTTGTTTCCGACAAAAGGGGAGACCGGCAAAACCTGCTCGAGCTTGGCTTGACTCCTAAGCTTCTTGGGGTTCACAGGACATGAGTTGTCAGGAACATACCAATCTGTTCGGTACTTCTTGTGATGGCGGATGATTTTGTTGCCGGTGAAGTCTACCTCCCAGTAGTCCTCGTCATGTGACGCTGCCATAGCGAGCTTTGGCGAGATCTTAAGATCCGCTGTATTCTCAAACGCAATGGCGCATGCGGCCGTCTTTGGAGCCTTGTCACTTGACTTAGCCCTGGGACTTCTCCCTCTGCGCGGAGCAGGGGAGTTGGCCCTGGGTGACCCTGGCTTTGGAGCTGCCGGGGCGGCTTCGGACTTGGGTGCGGGAGCTGACGGCTTCTCTACATCCTTATGTTGGAACCGACATTTGTCACCCTTGTTGCAGTTGCCTTCTTTCCAGAACTTGCAGGTCACGTTGATTTTCTTCTTCTGTTTGTCGCCTTTGGGGGACAACGATCTCTTCTTGTGAAGGAAAGGGCAATTGTTGCCTCGTTTGCAAGTTCCTTTGAGGAAATCGTAGCATACTCCCTTTGGGCTAGGTGTCCTAGGCTTGCTGGGAGACTGGGATCTACCTTTGCTGGGTGATCTTGGCCTTGGGCTCTGCGATCTGCCACGGCCTCCTCTTGAAGAGGGGCTGGAAGTTCGGCCAGGAGACTTTGAGGCAGGGGCACCGTACTTATCTCCGTGAGATCTTGCGATACGGTCACGGTTCTTGCGTTTGCGCTCTCGGGTCAAAAGATCCTTAGGTGACTTCACAAGAAACTTGTACGTGTGCTGATCCGTGCCCTCTGATGCCCTGTCGTAAATCTCAAGATCGTACTTTAGCCTCTTGGACTGCCTGAGTTCACGAAGGAAAATGTCTCTTAAGGTCGTTTCGTCCGGTGTGTGGCTAAGTCCAGACATGACAGATTCCCAGTTGCTAATGAACACTGAAAGGTCGTCATTGATTAACCTTACTTTCAGCAGGTCCTCAACGGAGTATAGTGAGCCGACCTCCTCGTTCGTCTTGAAGTACTGATCGAAGAGGTAGAGCACCTGTCGTCCTCGTACCGCCCTGAATTTTGCCGCCTCTGTCTCCTTAAAAATGAGGATTTCTCGGGAGAGTTCTCCCCTAGCGACTTTGGTGAGTGCAGCAAGGAGTTTCGTGTCAAGGGTGAGGAATTTCTCGGGGTCTCGAAGGGATTCCTGCGATGCGTCTTTGTCGTAGGCCTTCATCACCCATTTAAACGCCTCATCAGGAGAATCTGACGCTGCCCTGACCGCTTCCCTAGCTGCCGTTTTCCATGAACGATACGACTCTGGACTTGGGAAGTCCGGAAGGTTGATGGACTCTGCTTCTTTCGCTTTGGGTTTGTCAGCATCGCCTTTGCTCTCACCCCTTAAGGTTCTTAGGCTTTGAAGAATTGCCATTTGGGTCTCTAGGAGACCTGTGTTGAAAGCCTCCGTCCCTGGCGTGCCGGAATCGGCCGCTGGAGGGGCCGCTGTTCCTGGCGCTGCCTGGGAAGGTCCTGCTTTGGGGATTGAAGATGCTGTTGCAGACGGAATGGACTGAGCATTCAAACCTCCTGGATTCATAGACTCGAACAGACATCTGGCACCTTGGGGGATAACGTTCGGCATTGAGAACATGGGCGCTTGAGGAGCTTTGGGGAAAACAAAGGGACCTGCAGGGGTACTTGGAGCAGGCACTGGCTGACTCTTTGGAGTAGCTGGATTGTACTGATCCAAGACCTTCTCTAATGCAGTTTCCGCACAATCCAATCTGTCCTGAAGCTCTTCGTTCTGTTCCCTGCATACGGCAAGGGACGCCTCATACTCTTCTTTCTGCCTGTTCCTAAACAACTCAAAGTGTGCTTGGAACTGTTCAACCATGACTTCCTGGGAATTCTCGACGTGCCGTCTTGCCTGTTCTTCGAGGTTCTGTGCAAAGCGTGATTCCGCCAGTTGTTGATCCAATGCGTCTGTGATTCGGCTTTGTTGAAGTTCCGCTAGCTCGTGACGCAACCTTTGATCTTCGTCATAGGAATGCGCCTGACTTAAAGTCATCTCAGACAACAGGAGCCTTTCACGATTTGCCGCCTTGAACTCGCTTTGTGCCAAGGCTGCTTGCAGTTCTGCTACCACTTCAAGGTGGTTACGTTCTGCCCTGTGCTCCAAGTCAGCTGTGTGAATTGCGGATGCTTCTTGATAGGTCAGCATGTGTTGCCTGTGTCTAGCTTCTGCCTGAGCTTCTAGTTCTCCGACTTCCAGTCTGATTTGGTTAACGTGTACTTCGACACTGTACTGTGGTGCGAAGACGTTGAATTGTTGGACTGAGGCTGGTGCCGGGAAAACTAAGCCGGGGGCGCCGCTCCCTGCATGGCCGCCCGTGACCGGGGGCTGAAAAGGGTTCGCGGTGCTTGTAACTGTATCCATGTTTGCAGGAATAAGTTCCGGTTCGCTCATGCGCTGATTGATTGTATTGTAACCAACCAGTTGTGACCAGGCCGTAGGCTATACGGCTGATAACCTATAGTTGTTGTAAACCACTGCACACACGCACTGATATAGTACCCGTCCAAGTGTTAACAAGCAGCTTGTACCATTCGGTAACTACGCACTTTTCCTGCTAGAGCACTTGTGCCACAATGTAGCCACACAACATGCTACTTCACACGTGCACAAATTACAAAAGCGCCCTGACCCTTCTTCCTGGGAAAAGATCCACCTCTGCCAGGCCAGCCTCTTCCTCCTCGCGGACTTGCCCGCGCGGCTTCCCCTGGTCGTAGCAGGAGGATTCTCAGCCTTAGGTCTCGGAATCACCTCAGGAGACCTTGGCGGATTGTCATCCATCGACTGAGCTACAACCCTGAAGAAAGGAACCGCAAAGCACTACGGCTCATAACCAGTTATTCCGACCCCAAACGAAGACACAGCTAAGTTAGGGTAAGGAACGAAAGGGAAAGGAAGGGAAACCGAAAAGGGAGCCCCAACCCTGCACGTAACACGAACTTCAAGTACGTGCCTTTTCATGCTTGAACCAAATATCATTGGCGTGCTTCAAGCTTCAGAAGTTACATAGTCAGGCAACATTACTTTACATGGAGGTTGTTCGTAAATCTTCAACTTTCCAGCCTTTGCCTGCATGAAACGCATGATTGGCACGCCCCCTCATGTGGCGATTCCGGTTCACATTATAGCACTCAAAAAACTGGTGCGAGAAAAGACCGGATCATCACAGCCTAAGCACGCCTCCTCATTGGCGGTCCAGGCCACTTTTCCCGGGCACCAGCCCGCGGCACCGAAGGGGGTCGGGACCGCAGGACACAAGGGACGAGAGAAGCAGGCGACCAAAGACCGGAGGACCAGGGGACTAGAGGTGGCCTGGGCCAACCCCACCAAGGAGCCCAGACCAGAGCCAACCTCAGGAAAAATGAACTCATTGTTTTAAAACGCGTCAAAAACCATAATCTATAAAATAGCATGAGCGCTGCAATTGCCAAGCTCGAGCTCGAGCGATGCGCGCCACACACCGGGTAGTGGGTGCAGTAGGGGGGATACTGAAGACTGCTACTGCCGCTGCTGTTGCCACTGCTGCTGCTGCTGCTGCTGCTGCCGCGACTACCACGACTCCGACTACGACGACGACGGCTGCTGCTGCTACTATCAGGGCTTGGGTCATTCGATGTGTTGTGTCTGATTTGGATGGGGTTCCAGAGGTCTTGGTGTAGAGCTCGAAAGTCACGTCTAGTAGGAGTATTGAACTGCACGCAGTGCACCCGATTGCACTTTCGAACAAGCTTCTCAGATGTAGGACTACGCAGTCTGGGATCCTAAATACCTTCGAGGATTCGGGTGTATAGCCTTATATAACTCTAGCTGAAGTCTCCTTCGTCTGCGAATCGAAAGCTGGATTCTCCACCAAGCAGTTGATGAAGATCCAGAGGTGGTTTCTGGCGACCACGCGAAGGTGCCGGAAAGAGAAAGGCAGCCGGGAAACTCGGCGCCAGGCTTCACATGATGTGGCCGAACATCCACTCCTCCCTTCACCTTCTCCTTACTCTGAAGCCGCACCTTCTCCAGGATCGCCTTAATGATCTTAATGAAGCGCTCGTGCCCGTGCACACAGCTATAACAGCTGTGGCTCCGGCCTCGACGACTTGGTCACTAACGTGCGCGACGTGTGTCCCTCCGCGGATCGTGCAGATCGAGTTCACGAAGCTCACCTGAAACCGCGCGAAGTTGCAAGGCGACCGCGGCGACCGGAGACCTGACCGGAGTTCCGCCCTCTTGCCTGATGGAAGCCCGTCTCCGTCAGGCTCACGCAAATCTCCCACCTAGAGACGGAGTGTCCTAAGTCTTCACTGCCTCCCACACCGCCGCCCGATCTACCCGCCTGTCGGAGCACTTTTCGTGGATTTGGGGCACGCCCTGGCGGGTCAGCCTGCCGCGGGTGGCCGGTCCAACTACTACACCTGCAGGCCCGCAGGTGGCCCGCAGGTCGCTGTCGATGAGACATGTCATTACCTGCATCTTTCAAGCTCTCTTGCTCACTTGGACAATTGGTAGTTGGGGTTGGCCTGGGTGCCCCTCTCCTGGTGCACAGTCCTCCCCCAACCTGGTACCCCAGTCCTGAACCCTGTAGTCCGGGGAGCTGGGTCGTGCGTTCAGGGATTCAGGCTCAAGAGTGGAGGAGGATTGAGGTGAAAGGTGAGTCCGTTGGCGCAATGCAATCAAGTGTTGCACGACGATGTTCCGTTGCAGAATTATCACAACTCCTTCAAACTTCAACCGATCAGAGCATAACCAGCAATCGCATCAAGCTGGGTGGCGCTTGCATCTGCACTGGCGCAACACTCGTCACTGGGTGCAGGAATTCACATTGTCAACTGTGGCAGCTGGGCAAGTACAGGTCACAGTAGTCTCTGAAGTTCTTCACGTCGAGCTTCTCACCATTCAGAAACACGCTGCAACGCTCCTGAGAACATGGAATCATCCTAGCCGTAGCTTGACAGAAGAAACTCTCGAGAGACCGGCCGCTGTGGAACCGGCCACATCGTAGACCCGCTTCGTCAGCAAGGAGACGATGTCTTCCTTTGCGAGAAAATTGAGACGGAGGCCCTACAGTCCAGCGTAGCCGACAAGCAAAGCGTCGTCCAAGTGCGCCATGCCGAACTTCGCCAAGTCTGGCTTGAAGGTGATGCAGGTGAAGGACTTTTCCTGCAAAAAGTATTCCGAGCACCTCTGCACTGGCTCTACCGGTCCGCCTTGGTTCCAACAATCTCCGGCTTGCCCTTGACCTGAAGACTTGAAACAAAAAGAGACTGAGCTGAATGTTCAGAATGTAGAGGGTCTCATTAGCATTTGCCTGCATGTTGCTTTTGTACAGCTGGCTGAACCTCGAAGCGTCCCGCCAGGAAGCGAAAACCCACTTCTGGGCGAGATGTGGCGCCTGTTTTTGCCGTCGCAGGTCTCCACTTTGAACTCCGTGGAGAAGACGTTGGCAAGCTTGGCACCGTAGCCGTTCCGGCCTCCCACCACCTCAAAGACTCTGCTACACAGACATAGCAAAGCCGACCAAAGTACGACGGTCCTATGCTCACCTTGCAAGAAGAGTCATCGTAGTTGTCACTGGTCAACAAGTGGCCAAACACCAGCTCTGGGACATAGACCTGCCAGAAAAGGAAACTACTTGAGGGCGAAGTGACAATCTGGCAGCCCCGGCCAAAACTCACAGCGCTTCCTCGCCCGTTTTGGCACAAAAAAGGCATGAAGCCGTCTTGCTTTCGGACATTCCAGCTACACTTCCTCATGCTCACGATGATGCTCATCACGATCTTCGCCATCACCCTATTTGCCGTGGCCGTCGTCCGCACTCAACCCGGACTTGCGGTCCTGGAAGCGACGACAGGCCTCTGGCATCAAAGAATGTGGAATCCACGTGCTGTGGTCCCTGGTCCGGCCCTGAAATGTAGTACTGATGCACCTGAGATCTGATAGGCGCTGTTTGGCAGTGGCCGGTTTCAGGGCCCAGGGCCCCGGCAGATTGTGTTCCGGGCCTGTCAGGCCCTGTTAGGCCCTGGTCAAGGCAGTCAAGGCCTTCTGCTCTTTTTTCGTTGCATCTCTGGCTGCTCCAATCGCCAAATCGCCAAGCCGGACAGGCCCGATGCGCGTTCCTCGGCTGGAGGCTGCGCTTCGCCGCTTCGTTTTTCGCGGTGTTTGTACTAGAAAGAAAGAATGAGAGTGACAGTGGAAGTGAGAGCAAGTGAGAGAGGGTCCACGAGAGTGAGAGAGAGTGAGAGTGAGAGAGTGAGAGCGCGAGCGAAAGCCTGAGCGGAAGCGTGAGCGGAAGCGTGAAAGTGAGAGTGAGCGTGAGAGTGTGACTGAGAGAGTGATTGAGAGAGTGAGTGAGAGAGGGTGCGCGAGAGTGAGAGAGAGTGAAAGAGAGTGAGAGAGTGTGAGAGAGTGTGAGAGAGAGTGAGAGAGAGTGTGAAAGAGTGAGAGAGTCAGAAAGTGAGAGAGTGAGAGTGAGCTAGAGTGAGAGAGTGAGTGAAGGAGGGTGCAAAATTCAACAATACAATGTACGTAAAGATACCGAGAAACCAAGATCAATCACTTTCCCCACAGTCACGCTCATGCAGACATTCTTTTGCAACGTCAAGCCAATCTGTCCAGTCTTGAGCCAATGTCATTCGGCATCGTAGCGTCGTAGCATTCGTACATGCATCATGACGATTAGGTGCATCATTGGGCTCGTGTCATTGAACACATTCCCTTGATCCTGACTTCAATCGAGGATCACTCAAGCATTTAACGAGCACAGGTGGTGGCACTCGCGAAGCGATCAAGACACATTCGAAGAAACAAACAAAGCTGCGAAGGATCATTGGCCTGGTTCCAGACATTTTGGCTCGACTCGGGATGACATTCGAGTACTCGTGAAAATCATTCGGAGGCCAGTCTGCGCCGTACAAAGCAAGCTTGCAAGCAATCGGCTCATGTGTCATTCATTCATCTTGAACCCGAGAACTTCGTTCTCAGCAAACCACTGAAGAAATCCATTCAAAATTTCTACATAAACTTCACATTGCAAAACAGTTGCAGTCGCAGGCTCGCAGGGCACTCCTACATTCATCGTCGGGCTCAATGCGATCACTTGACGGTGCCCTTGGCATTCTTCCGCAGGACAATCCCACGCCAGGCTCGAGAGCAATTGGCATTCTGGGCGAAAGCAGTCGCCACATTGCGATCATTCGAGCCTTTCGCCTGCGAAGGAGCATTCCAAGCATTGGGGGCCTCATCGTCCTCATGCTAGTAGATCTCGTCCCAGGTGGAACAGTCGCGCTCCAGTCCGCCTCCGACGGTTTGGTTGAGCGGGACCATCGTGTGTCCCACCAGTGTCCACTCGATGAGGCATTGTCCGCGGGCGGTTGCCGGCATTCCCTATTCCATGATCTCACTCAAGAACAGCAACAGTTTGGGGCTGCGATGACACGTTGCGGCATTCGAACGATGGCGGCACTGCTCAACGACAGCGGCTCCATCGCCCATGGCCAGTCATTCGGACCACAGCCATCCCACTACAGTACTGATATTGTCGGTGACTTGGCGATTCAAGCACTTCGCCAACTTCATTCGAACATGTCCTCCTGCTCTGCCAGCAGTCCATCGTCTCATTGCCGCAGTCTTTGTTCTGCGGAACACGACACGACAAAGGCAACGTGCCAGTTGCCCTTGCTCAGGAACAGTCGCTCGGCCTTGGTCACGCCAGTCCAGCTGCTCTCAATCATCCAGGTGTGGGGTCCATTCTGCTCGGGCTGGACTCCCAACGAGTGCATTCTCATTTTCAAAAGGCTCATTGGAACACTCTCTTGAATCAGTGTCTCACCCAAATTGGTCTTGGCACGAAGCATTCTGTCGGCGAGATCATTCACCCTTTCCACCACTCTCTCGCGATCATTCTCGACCACAGCGGTGATGCAGCGGTCGGTCAAGCTCATTCCACACACGGGTGAGCTCAACTCCACAGTCCATCGCTGTGAGGGCATTGGACACTTCCACCTTCACAGGACCACTCCTGCTCAGCCTGCGCTGCACTATTGTCTCATTCATCAGGCGGCGTGCCTCCCAAGGCACAGCATTCAAGGCGGCACTCGGCTCGTTCGAAACATTGCGCACCCAGTCAGCATGGATTCCCAGTGCAGTACGAAGCAGTGATGCCCAGTGTGGCATCAAGCGCAGCAGTGCCAGTCGCAGGCTCAGCTCCAGTCGGAGGGTCGGCCCAGCACTCCACCGGACATGAACAGTGCGACCAGCGTGGTCTGCACTCTTTCCTGCCTCACTTCTTCGACCACGCGGTCAGTCAAAGCAACCAGGTCAATCGCCAATTGCTCGCCAGTGATTGCCTGGCAGTGGCTCCAGTGGGACTCGGACCATTGCAGGAGCGGGGTTGCAGTCTTCGGGGTTGCAGTCTTCGGGGCTATTGGCAAAGTCGGTACAATCTACGCTACCGGCAGTCGATCGTCAACAAGGAACATTCAGAGTAAACATTTTGCGGGAAACACATTGACTTCAGACAACAACAGAAAGACTTAAAGCAGTCCCCCTTGCATTGCACTTTGTAGATGCAGATCACTTGCAATCACTCGGCAAAACATTCGGCCTTCATTCCTGGGAAATCGGCCAAAACAATCGCCAAACAATGATTGGCCACTCGCTTGTGACATCTTCAACATAGACCCTCATGCGGCGACTCCGGTTCAAAAACTCTCGTTTCCTGCACTTCGCGGCGAGCGAGTCCGCGCCCCGTAGGGCTCACGGAGGAGGAGACTCAACCTCGTTGAAGGAGTCTCAACTCAGCGGTTCCCTGTCTAGGCAACCATTCCCAAAACCGCAAAACCTAGCCTCCGAAGCCCATCTGAGCAGTGCTAGGTCGCCCAGTACACTGTGGTACATCGGCACTCTCTCATAGAGAGCATGTGCCAGGGCGTGAGGGGCCTTCCGGTATTCTTTGTCTCAGACGCGTAGTATTTCTCCACCAGGTTCCAGTAACCTGATAGAGAACTGGGTGGGCCCAACACCCAGTCTGCAGTGTCAAACAAGCAGGGTGAAGCCAGTCCGGAAGCCGTCTCGAGTTGGCGGACACCGACGTCGGTGGTTCCGACATCAGAGACCGTCCACCCGAAGCTTTCCACCGCTGCGATGCAAAGAAGGACGACCTCCAGAAACTGGCGGAGGCTCTGTCCTGGATGAGCACCGGTGCCAAGCCCGGCCCCCAAAGGTTGAAAGAGGTGAAGGACCACCTCACCTGACAAAGGAGGAGGGGAAAGGCCCTGGTAGCCGCCTCCTCATTTCCGCGCCCTTCCCCTACCTTGAGAACTTTGGGGGCTGCGAAGACCATTCTCACGCGGCCCAGGTAAGCGCTCGCCCATTTGCATTTCGGACCCCTTGCAACGGGTCGATCAAAATCTGAGGTGCCAAAAAGTGGAAGTGGCTTTTCGGCCGTGCCTTTGCAGGCTGCGAGAGGCTGACGATGTCAATGCTCTTGTCGCTTTCTTGTTTCCTGCAAGGGAGGCTGCACGGACGGACTCGCATTTGTCTCTTAGCCCAATGACTCCCCGATCAGCACCACGTCGGAGTCAGTGAGCGTCTCGTCGGACTCCTCCTCTTCGCTCTCCGAGTCCTCGCTTTCGCCTTCCTCCTCCTATTCCGGAAAAGGGGCGTTGCTAGAGGCCGCCTTTGCCCCACCCTAACAACCGTGTGACAAGCTTTGCATGTGCAGGCAGCTGGGGTTGACTTACGGTCGCTGGGGTTGACTTGGGGCGGGCGCCAAGTACCTTAGTAAGCTGGTGCGACTTTTGGCGTTATGCCGAGATGGCTGAGCAACCTATCTGTTGACGCATATGACTCGCGTGCAACATAAGACTCAAGACGCTGTCGAGTATCCTCAGGAGTTGCTGAGCTGTTGCCAGCTCCACACCCGCGGGAAGACACGGTGCAACGCACGCCTAGAGAAGCGATTTCTTTTAGCGGTTTAGCGAACGGCTGAGGCCGCTACCTTGGTGGGGCGGCGACCCCAACCGTGGACAACTGCCTCCGGAGTTCCCTTTTCTATGCCTTGTGTTGCCTATACTTGCGACCCGGAAGTTCTACGACAAGAAACTTTGTAACCCTAGCCTTCTTTTGAAAAGTTGCCTGGGGTGGTGCTGTTGAGGTCCACCGGCTCTCCCGGCGCAGCGTTCCCTTAGTCTCCCGTGTGGCCATGGCCCTTCAAGCCTTCTCCGGATGCAGGACATTAAAGTACGGCAGCTATCCAAGATCTCCGTCTTGGCCTCGGTGCTAAAGGCTCCAGCTCCAGATCCAGGACCGGGCACTAGACCCTATCCACGTTTCCTTTCCCTAGTCCCCCAGCTACGTGGCTTGTACAATTCTATACAAACCGCTTCAGCTGCCACCACCAGTCTTCCTATTTTTCCAGCTCTCCGTGACTCCGTGGTACACTGGTGGCCGGCAGTTTGATTTCACCGCCAATCCCCTGCATGGTTCCGAACTCCATTCTCTCTCAGTCCCTGATTGCAGAGCCGAAGATCCAGGGATACCGAGTAACCAAGATCAATCAGTTTCCCCACAGTCGCACTCAAGCAGACTTTCCTTTGTGACGTCAAGCCAACCTGTCCAGTCTTGGGCCGATGCCATTCGGCATCGTAGCGTTAGGTGCATCATTGGGCTCGTGTCATCTAGCAGTCGGAGGAAGTGAGGGAGTGATCGAGCGAGTGAGCGAGCGAGCGAATGTGGGTGAATGATCGAAAACACTTGCAGTGATGTGGAACTCCCCTGAGAAGTTCTTCTCATATTTGGTCCACAGCGCGAAAAAAGGTAGAGAACTCGGTGTCTGGAGGGAGGAGGTAGGAGGGGAGTCGCGGGAGGGAGCGGGGGAGGGGTGAAGTTCCAAGGGAGGGGTGAAGTTCCAAGCGCCTTCTGCAGAGTGCCTTCAGCAATGACAAGAAACACATGACATGGCCACTGTACTCATTGATTTCTACTCCGTCTCCTTTTGGCTCAAATTGTTTTTCACAACCTACACCTAGCTCTCTCAGCGAGAGGCGAGGGCATGCTGGATGGGCCGGCTGAGAATTTTCAAGAGCTGGCCCCCAGGTTTGCCCCCCCAGCACTAGCC